GGTGAGCTGCTGGGCAGGGAGTCGGGCAGGGGGGCTCTGTGGTGTCCCCATCCCTAATGTGTTGTGTCCCCACAGCACTTCCACGTGCTGTACAAGACCGTGCAAAGGCTGCTGCTCAAGGCCAAGGCGCAGTGACCACAGCTGTGTACAGTGGCCCAGGAGAGACCGGCCTACGCACCCACGTGGCCCTACTGAACCAGAGGGTTTGGATCCGTCACGAGGATGCAGGGATGCCTCTGCCCGTCTGTTTCCTTGAACTTCCCTGGAGGAGAGCCCCGCCTACCTGCAGACGAGCCCACAGGGACACAGTGGTCACCCGGGCCACGTGCACTGAAGGGCCACACCCCATGCTGGCCTCCCCAGTGGCCGGGTACCAGCAGCCTGTGCCCCCTGCGGCTTCTCAGAGGCGTCCACCACCAGGCTGCCTCTCCTGGCGCTGGCCAGCTCCGGACTATGGCTCCCTGCTGTTCCCAGCCTCCCTTCAGACTGTTGTCACCTTGGCCACCACTGGACCCACCTGGTCCCCCAGCTGGACCTGCCTCACCATCCCCTCCCCTCCTGCAAGTGTCCCCCACCCTAGTCCAGATCTGGTGACAGGGCAGGAGGTGCCCCTGGGAGGCAGCCTGCAGCCCTGAGGTCTCCCCACCTTCCCCTCCCCCCTCAGTTTCTCTGCCTGTGATGCATTCTGGGGAGCCAGCCCCGCTGTCACAGTGTGGGATGAAACAGCGAGGCCCAGCACAGCCGTAGATATCCCCACCAATAGGACAGCCCTGTGGAATGGAGGGTGGGAGGGAGAGAGGGATGTCAGCGCTGGCAGTCGACCTCAGGGACCCCACGGTGAATAGATTCGATAGCAATATGACCCAGGAGGTGTCAGGCTGGGAGGCAGCCGGGGCAGCGCCTGGCATCCCTCCAGCCCCAGCTGAGGCCTGGCCCACCCTGACCCGCTGCTCTGCCTCTGCCTCGCAGCGGTGGCGGCCTTCACCCTGGTAGCACTTGTGTCGTGGGATGAGAGGGGCCAGCCTGCCACCCTGGCCCCGGGCCTCTCGCCCCCCCGGACTGCTGGGGTCCAGCCCCCCTTTACTCCTGTCCTGGCAGCTGGTTACGGGTCTGAGGCAGGTGCCACCCCATCACTGGAAAAGATGCACAAGGTGCATGTGCCTCTGCCTAGACAGGTCTGGGGACGGTGGCTAGGGGTCTGCAGTTGGCGGGTTAGAAAATAAAAGCCATATTGAAGGACCGTGCCTGCGGGTGTCCTGGGGAAGTCTGCTGCTCCTGTCTTCAGGAACCTTGAGGTCCCGCTGGGCCCATGGCCGCTGTCCTGAACTCGTGAGCATCAGCCCTGCTGTCCACCACAGCCGCTTCCCAGCCTAACTGACAAGGCTGCTTCCTGGTACTATCCAGGCTCTCAGTGGACAAGAGGTTGGGCACAGGAGGGCCACCACTGCACAGGCCACCCCTGCCTGCCAGGCTCATCCCAGGACCCAGCTCCTCCCACAGGCTCTGCCAACCACCCAAGTCTCTGTCTTGTAATCAGTCAACAAACCTCAGTTCAGCTACTGCAGTGAGGCTGGGGATCCTGTCCGCTCAGCTCGGGATGGACAGGGCTGCTCACTTCTGACTGTCGAAGGGGAACAGACCCACCTGGACCACAGAGGCACAGACAATTAGACTGTGGCGTCTCTTCTGCCTGGGTTCAGGCAGAGGGTGTGGTGTGTGCCAAAACCCTGGGGCGAGCACAGTGAAGCACCTGAATGTTGTGATCCTGAGCCCAAGGTGAGGGGGGCTATATCCTGACTGTGAAGTCTGGGAAGGTCCCTGGGCCCAGGGCACTTGTGAATCCGCAATGAGACCTGCCTCTGTTAGGTCCTGGACTCCAGGGACCACGGCCTGCAAGTGTCCCCGGATGCTCATGCATGCTTGCCCCAGAAGGGGGAAATGAGGGGGGCACACATACATCACTCAAGGTGACCAGCAGGACATCTTTCTCCTCTGGGTGCTGGGGATCAAACTCAGGTTGTCAGACTTGGCAGCAAGCCCCCTTACTCACTGAGTGCTCTCGCCGGCCCTCCAACCTTATCTTTTGATGCAGGCAGGGGCTCTGAGCCTTGAGCCAGGCTCCTGCCTTGGCCTCCATAACTCTGGGGTTCCATGTGGCTGCCATGCCAGATTTTTACATGGGTGTTGGGGATCCAAACTCAGGCTCCAGACCTCTGCTTCTGCGGGAGGGTGTCATTGCACCCTCAGCTGGCCTCGTGGTAATCCTGCTGGAGTGAAGGCCTGCACCACCACACTGGCTACAGCTTTTAGACAGTGGCTTGTAGGCTGGGCATGGCGGAGGAAGTAAGGTCAGCTCTGGGTCATCCTTGGCTACACAGTGAGTTTGGGGCCAGCCTGGGCTACATGAAACCTTGTTTCAAAACTAAATAGCAAAGAGGTTGTAAGTCACTGCCCTCTGTGGCATCCACAGGTGGCTGTGCTGGGCCGGACACGGGGCTGGTGACACAGCCAGTTCCAGCCCTGACTTGGGTGGTACTTGGACGTACCTCCCCTGAACCCTGGGAGGGAAGGGCAGTGGGAGGAGTGGCCCCTCTCACCCCTTCAGTGCTGAGTCCCTGTTGGGGGAGACTGCTCTCGGGGGGCCTGTGCCTGTCACAATGGGGGGCTCCCTGCACAGAGTGGGTGCAGGCCAGGTCCTCAGCTCAGCACCTCCGAGAACGAATCAGCCGTGGATATGGGCAACTGAGGCTGAGGTGAGTTCTAAAACAGCCCACTCACCTGAGCATGTACAAAAGCCCGAACAGGTGATAGGACACCCCCCCCCCCAGTTTCTGATTGCCCATCTCCCCTGGACCAGCAGCCACAGGTCTTCTGCCCCATAGCTATGGTGACACCAGCTGTAGGGATTGGGGGTGTCAGGTAAGGAGTCCCCAAACAGGTGCTATTTTAGGCTAACATGGTGCTGGGGTTGGGGGAACAGCTCCAGCTCTGCAGGCCACCTGCCGGTTCCCGCCCACATGTTTTTGGGACTGAAATGGCTCAAGCCCGTTACCCCAGGGCTGATGCTGAGGCAGGTGGATGCCAGCTGTGGGGCAGTTGGCAGGACCCCGCCTTTGACCCGCATCCCCGGCTCCCGGGAGGCCTGGTCCCCCCTTTCGATGCTTTTTAACGATTCTCGCAGCTCAGAGGCCCGCGGGGGCTGCTGGCATCCTCCTCCGGTCTCCATGGAAACAGTCTGAGGACCAGCCTCAGCATCTCCCAGTCTCCCTGCTGCTGGGAGGTAACCCCTGACCCCAGGCCTTGCTCTGTCCCGCCCCACAGCCCTTCGGAGTATGATGGTGGCATTGCCATCGACTGTGAAGCCAGCCCACAGAACGCCAGTCCCTTCTCCCTCTAGTGTGCATAGCAAACGAGGAGGCTAGGCAGGCAAGGCTGCCTGGAGCTTGGGGACAACAGAAGGAATCATGGGAGGCATCTGGGCTTCCAGAGCTGGTGTTAGACTCCAGCACTCCTGCTGTGTGACTTTGCACAAAGGATCAACCTCTCTGGGTCTCAGTTCCTGTTCTTTAAAACAAATTATAGGGATCTGGAGGGATGGCTCAGCGGTTAACACACCGGCTGTTCCTGCAGAGGACCCGGGTTCCCAGCACCCACACGGGGCTCACAACCGCCTATGACTCCAGTTCTGGGGGCCCGACGCCCCCTTCCGGTCTCTACAAGTACTGCACACACAGCCATGCAGGCAACACACCTGCACATAAGTAAATTATTTTACAAAACAAATTATAGCTGAGTGGTGGTGGTGCACGCTTTAACCCAGCACTTCAAGGCAGGGCAGGCGGATCTGTGAGTTTGAGGACAACCTGGTCTACAGAGCGAGTTCCAGGACAGCCAGGGCTACACAGAGAAACCCTGTCTCGAAAAGAAAGAAAGAGAGAGAAAAAAGAAAAGAAAGAAAGAGAGAGAGAGAGAGAGAGAGAGAGAGAGAGAGAGAGAGAGAGAGAGAGAGAAATTGTAGGAACAAGACTCACCTATTTGAGTCTTTTATTTATTTGAGACACTGTCTCATGTAGCCCAGGCTAGCCTCCAACTCTCTGTGTAACCAAGGATGAACCTAATCCTTTTGCCTCCACCTCCTCTGGGAGAAAAAAAGCCCCAAACCCAGTCATCAACACAGAGGACATTCTATTGCAGTAGTTAAAATGAACACGCAAAAAATCTGCAATGAATAAAATATTGCTTGTTTATGTTTGAGATAGGTCTCTTGACATAGCACTGGCTTGTCCTGTAACTCTCTGTGTAGCCCAGTCTGGCCTCACAGTGATCCTCCTGCCTCTGCCTCCGGAGTGCTGGGATTAAAGGTGTGGTCACCACCACCCCACAGATATCACCATTTTCACGACACACAGCATAGGCACAGACGGCGTCTCTGGTACCAGGGACTTCAACTTTAAAATATGAGCTGGATGTGGTGGTGCAGGCCTGTCATCCCAGGACTCAAGAACTGAGGCAGGAGGATTGCTTGCAAGGGCCAGCCTGGGCGTCCGCTTCTTTCCTTGAATGGCCTGTCAGCTTCTCTGCCCTCCACTGTCATCCCCCTGCCCCTGTCTAGTCCTTTGTGTCCACGTCACAGGCTGGCTTTCATTATTCACCTTCTGTTTGCAGAGCCACCGTCCCCATCTGTGGCTGCTTGTTTTGTCTCGACACAGGCTCTTACCATGTAGCCCAGGCTAGCCCGGATCTCCAGATCCTCCTGCCTCAGTCTCCCCAGTGCACCTGGCAACGGGGCTTATCTCGTGGCTGTTGGTGACGGACACATTAAGAATGTCAGAGCCAGCGTGGGGAGACCTGTCAGTCTTTCTGATGTGCACGTCCAGCCTGCAGCCTCCCACACCTCCAGGACCTCTGGGCCTCAGTTTCCCCTCCGCCGGCGGGCGCCACCCGCCCCTGCAGTTCCCGAGGCGGCCGCGGGAAGCGCTGTGGAGCAGTCGTGCGCGGGCGGGGCCGCTGACCGAGCGACGCGGCGGCACCGCAGCTCCTGCCCGGGCCTGGCCGGTGGGCGGCAGCGGGCCCGAGCGCCCCGGGGCGCGGCCCGACGGCATGAAGGACCTGGACGCCATCAAGCTCTTCGTGGGCCAGATCCCGCGCCACCTGCACGAACAGGACCTCAAGCCGCTGTTCGAGCAGTTCGGCCGCATCTACGAGCTGACGGTGCTCAAGGACCCGCACACCGGCGTGCACAAAGGTGGGCGCCCGCGCCCCGTACCCGCCCCTGCATCCCTGCACCTGACCCCTGCACCCCGGCACCCTGCCTCCTGCACCCCGAGCCCCTTTCTGTACCTCTCTTTCTACACCTGCACCCCCCCCCCCCCGTAATTCCCTACACCCCTCCCTTGCGCCTGAACCCTCTGGATCCCTCCCCTATACCTCTCCTTCTGCACCCCTGCATCCTAGCACCCCCTTACCTTCCCCTGCACCCTCCTCCGCCCTGGGGGTGCCGCTCTCGATCCAGCTGCCCCCTCCCGTCCTCCGCCCCCTCTCCCTCCCTCCTCCCCACTCCCTCCTCCTCCATCGCTCTCCGTCATCTCCCTCCATCTCCCTCCTCTCCCCAGGCATCTTCCTCTCTCTCCCCTTCTCCCTCCCATTCCCAGAACCCCCCCTCCCGCCCTGTGCCAGGAGCTCCGGGGACCCCTGCCTGCCGGTCTCCCACCCCCACCACGTCGCTCTGGGTCTCTCTGGCTGGGCCGGGAACTTCCCACCTCGGACCGGGATTCCTGCTCACAAAGCCGGGCCAGCTTGGCTGCTGCCGGACACATGTCCAGGACCCGGGGCTGAGCGGTAACTACAAAGACGTGGGGGGCGCGAGGTTGAGGCTGAGGCCCAGGGGATGCAGGGACCCAGGCAGCCCTCTCTGGGTGGTGCCATCTTTCTGATCCCCTGCGCCCACCCTGGGCTCAAGTGGAACCTGGCAGAGCCAGAGCTGAGGCCGAGACAATGAATGTGAGGTCCGCTGGGCAGACTCCAGATCCCGGGTGACGAGGACGCGCGTGGGTGGCGTCGCCGGCAGGTGGCTCAAGAACCTGGCTCCCCCTCCCATGGAGGCTTCTGGGGGGGCAGGGTCGCCCCACTCTGCTCCGTCCCAGGCCCCAGTGTCTGAATCTGGTGGCTTTGAGGAGCTCTGAGGGCAGGTGTTGGGGGACCCCCAAGGTTGAGACCACAGTCTCCATCCCCGGCCGGACCCTGGGGGTGGGGGGAAGGTGGGGGCTCCCCCGGATGGGCCGGTACCCGCCTATGGAATGAATGAGAGTGTGTGAATGAATGAACGGACAAGCGAGTCAATGGATGGACCAATGAATGAGAGAATGAATGCATGAGTGAATGAGAGATGAACGAATGCACAGTCCCGGGGCTGCCAGCTGGCCTTGAGGCTGGTCTGGCTCCATGGCAGGGAGGGAACTCCTTCACACTCCAGTGCTTTTCTCCACCGACCTCATTCTCAAACACGTGAGACTGGAGGTTTAATTCCCACCCATGACCTGGACCCGAAGCCCAGGGTCTGGCTTAAGTACTCATTGCTAGAAACTTCTGACGGGAACCCGAAGGCTGCCTGCATGGCACCTCAAGTCGGGGCTTGGGGGGCAGTGGTGAGGCCTGGGTCTCCGGGATCACACACGGGTGCTAGAGTGGGAGGCTCCACATCTCCCCTGGGAATTCCAGAAAGGACAGTGGGGCAGCAAGGCCCGGGGACCGGAGTTATTTTCTTTCTGGTAGATGTGGTGGCCTGGGGGCCTTCAGATTTTGGGACATTGCTTAGGAGGTGGGAATTTGGGCGGGCGGAGGGTCCAGGGAGGGTCCGGTTGCCAGTGACTAGAGGTCCACCGTTTCCCAGGCCCCACCCGAGTGAGGAGGTGGGGATCCCACAGGCCAGTAAAGGAAGGCTCAGGATCTTGACAGAAAGAAGTCTGTGTTTGAAGGCAGGGATGGTGGCACACACGCCTGTCAGTCAGAAACTTGGGATGCTCAGTCAGGAGGATCAAGGTCATCCTCAGCTACATAGCACGTTCAAGGCTAGCCTGGGTTACATGAGACCCTGGCTCAAGAGAGGTAGATCTTCTTGGGCCTCTGCTATGTTTCTGTCAACCAGTGGCTGTCCCTTTCTGGGCTTCAGGACAATGGAGACAGAATGGACTGAACTTGGAATTCTTGCACAGAAGAATATTTCAAATGGCTTTGTTTCTGTTCACACCTTCAAGATAACCCATAACAGCAGGGGTGGGATCCTAGGGCGGACTAGGTCCCTAAATGCTGCAGAGAGACGCAGAGAAGGGGCAGGAGATGAGGGCCCATGGACCCTCTGTGACCCCCCCTGGAGCCATCCAGAGTGTGAGGGCTTCCCTCAACCAGGGCTCAAGGTAGAACCTGGGAGCTGACATGGGGGGGCCTTCTGCCCCCACCTCTGAGGGAGGACAGGTCACCTTCGGGGTCTCTCTAGCCCTACATGCCCTATGCATTTCCATGTTAATGACGGCATTGGCACACTCTGGGGGACAGTGCAGAGTGTGTGTGGGGGGGGGGGGCTGGCCTGCTGTTACCATGGGAGCAGCAGTGGCTGTCATGGCAGGAGGAGGGGATGTGGAGCCCAGGCGACAAGCAGCCTTGGGGACACATGGCCTGGCACAGGTGTGGGAGGAGCTGTTGTCCCGGGGCCACACCAGGTGCTTTCTTGAGACACTTTGATGGCTTCAAATGAGACACCATCCAGCTGTGTGCCTCGGTTTCCCTAGCTGCCTAAGAGAAGGTCCTGGAAGCATACATCTCAGAGGAAACTGCTGGAAAAGAATACAGGGTGGTGTGGATTTTAATGAACTCTGGGCACAAGGCCTGGGCTCACAGAGTGGGCGATGCTCCAGTGTTCAGGCTAGAGGCATTTGCAGGTAGAGAAAAGTGTTCTTGAGGCAGACAACAGCATCTCTGAAGGCCCAGAGGTGCAAGGCCCTGGGAAATCTCCACAGGGAGGAGGCTACTGTGTGCTGGAGCGGTCAGGATTGCATCAGAGACAGGACACAGGCTGGAGGGAAGGGACTGGCTTTGCTTGAGGAAAATGCATGGAGGTGGATGGATGGATGGATGCATGGTTGGATGGATGGGTGGACGGATGGGTGGATGGATGGAGGGATGGATGGGTGGATGGGTAGACAGATGAGTGGATGGATGGATGGATGGATGAGTGGATGGGTGGACGGATGAGTGGATGGGTGGATGGATGGAGGGATGGATGGGTGGATGGGTGGACGGATGAGTGGATGGGTGGATGGATGGATGGGTGGATGGATGAATGGGTGGATGGATGGGTGAATGGATGGATGGGTGGATGGATGGGTAGATGGGTGGGTGGATGGATGGGTGGGTGAGTGGATGAGTGGGTGGATGGATGGATGGATGGATGGATGGATGGATGGATGTTGGGTGGGTAGATGGATGTTGGGTGGGTAGGTAGATGGATGGGTGGATGGGTGGGTGGATGGATGAGTGGATGGGTGGATGGATGGATGGATGGATGGATGGATGGATGGATGGATGTTGGGTGGGTGGATGGATGTTGGGTGCGTAGGTAGATGGATGGGTAGGTGGGTAGATGGAGGGATAGGTGTGTGGGTGGGTGATGTCCCCAGATCTCATGGAGGTGTAGTAATTGTCACCATACCTTCCCCTGGGTCAAGTGTGGAGCACTTGAAATGGGGCTCATGCAGACCCTGAGGAAGTGCAGAGGTAGGATTCTCACAGGTTTGGGGTGAAGGCTTCATTTTGTTATCTGAGGAATGATGTCCCAGGTTGACCACAATCCCTGCTCAGGTCCTGGTGAAGGAAGGAGCTTTTGTTGGAGGAGCAGAGGGAAGAGACAGGCAGGACAGACTTAGGCCTTGGCCCTGAGGAATGTGGGAGTGATGGAGCGCTGTGGGTGGAGAGACATGACTTGGTGATCACAGGCATCTCTGGTTGCTACTTCATGGAGAATGAACGGGGCGGGGGGTGGGGTGAGCATGTGTTCACAGATGTGAATGGAGGCCACTCAGCTTGTCTTCCTGATGACAGGATGGGGCCGGGTGGAGTCACAGGAAATTGTTCTTGCTATGACTCGAGTGTTCAGTGGGGCATCTGTGATCCCAGCACTCAGAAAGCTGAGGCAGGAGGATCATCAATCAAGGCTAGCCTTGGCTACAGAGTTGACCAGGAGCCAGTTTCCAAAATAAGGTGGTTGGGAGAGATGGCTCAGTGGCTCAGAGTGAATATTGCTCACCTCAGGAACCTGAGTTCAGTTCCCAGCACAACTGGGCTGCTCATAACAACCTTCACCCAGTACCTTGTGGGTCCCCAGAGGGAACAGATTCCTACAAGTTGTCCTTCTGCCCCTCATAGGCATGCCGGGGCCCCCATAGGTAAATAGATACTAAAAACATTGAATGCAGACCTCTCCAACATTCTGGAATTTTCTGAGCCTCAGGAATCCTTCAGCCATTCACCCTGACTCCCAGCTCAAAGGCAGATGTTTCTGATTGCTGTGTGTCTTGGGGAGGGTGCTAGCCTCTCTGAGCCTTGGTCCATACAGCACTCAGCGGTGTGTAACTCTTGAGCAGTTTGGGAGGTTCTGCTGAAGCTCTGACTACAGTGGCACCTCCAGCCTTCATGGTAGTTTGGGGCGGGGGTTATTAACATCGAGGAAGAAACTCCCCATGGCTCCCCAGGGCTCCGACTTTAGTGGCCTCCTCCATTTTGATCCCCAGACTCCCCCAGCTCCGGGTGTCTGTCTGTCTCCTCTACACAGGGCCCTTGTTCCTCCCTCAGCCTGCGAAGCTCAGGGCCGCCCAGTCGCCCAGGGTCTTGTTCCTTCTGAGTGGGTGGGAAAGAACACCAACCTCCGTCGCCGAGGTGGGGGGGGGAGCGGGCACGTGACTCGGCACTGAGTTCAGATGGGGGGCCCAGTCGGTCAGCCCCAGCTCCAGCCTCGGAAACCAAGGTGAGGGGACACTCACTGCGGTCCCCACCTTCACGCACATGGCCTTTAGCCACTGTGTCCCCAAGGTGCCCAGACTTAGGGGCGTCGGCGCCCAGGAACCTCCTAACGCCCGGACAGAGGAACGACTTTTCTAAGTGGGGTGACATCCCTGGTGTTGGGGTTCGGCCAGCAGCACGCCAGGACACACCCTCCCATCAGGGCTCCGGGGATGGGGGGGGGGGGGGGCAGATGCGCTTCAGCACCGCGGACAGCGGCCCCGGGACTGCAGGGGCGATTCTCTTTGCCCTCTCCTCCCTCCTCCTCTTTCCTTTCTCCTCCCTCCTCCCTCACTCCCTCCTCCTCCTCCCTCCTCCCTCCCTCCCTCCTCCTCCCTCACCTTCCTCCTCCTCTTCTCTCCTCCTTCCTCCTCCCCCCTCCTCTCTCTTTTCTGCTCCTTCCTCCCTCCTCTCCCTCCTCTCCCTCCTTCCCTCTCCCTCCCTCTTCTTCCTCCCTTTGGGGCTCTGATACAAGGCCGGTCTTGAACTCTCTCTGTGGCCGAGAATGACCTCGAACTCCCAGGTGCTGAGGTCAATGGTGGCAAGTTCCAGGCTGCAGGGTGGACCTGCCTTAGAGACCAGGTGATGGTGGTGGCGCACGCCTTTAACCCCAGCAGAGGCAGAGGCAGGTAGAGCCCTGTGAGTTCGAGGCCAGCCTGGTCTACAGAGGGAGTTCCAGGACAGTCAGGGCTACACAGAGAAACCCCCTTTCAGGAAAAAACAAAAAAACAAACAAACGAAAAACTAATAATAATAAAGTCAGTTAAAATAATACAGCCAGGGCCAGTCATAGTGACGTTCCCCAGCTGGTGCCATCTGTGAGCGCATGGCTTGGCTGTGGGTCCCATCTTCCCAAACTAAAAACTACCCCTGTGAAGCATTAACTCCCCTCCATCCTCTGACCAGCACCCACCTCCGCCCAGCACCCACCGTTCCCCTTCCTGTGTGTGAATTTGTCAATGCCAATGACCAAATAAGGACTCAGCAGCACCGGCCATGCTCCTTGCGCATCCTCTGCCGAGCTCAGGAGCCTGAAGTCCATCCTTCCTGGGGTGGGACACGCAGCTTTCCTTTTCATGGCTGTGTAATAGTTCACCACGTGGAAGAACACGCCCACGTGTCAATCATTCATCTATCAACTGGGTGACATTTTCATGGAACCCCGTGTTCCGGTCAAACCACATCTGATTTGCATTTTTAACTTGGGGGGTGGGCTCCATACCCAGAGCAGGTTGGGTAGGTTAGAGAGGACCCCACATCATAGTCTTCTGGCCTGTGCCAGAAGTGCAGTCCAGAGGACTTGCTCGGGAACTGGCCTCCAGGCTCCATCCACGACACTCTCTGAACCCAGAGCCCCAGTGATCCTCCTGCCTCCACCTCCCCAGCTCTGAGGTCGCCAAAGTATGTCCTGTCTCCCCAGCCTGAAGTTCTGATCCCCTTACACTCCAACTCCCTGTCCTCTCCCCAGCCCTCAGCACCCCAAAATCCACTTCCTGTGTCTGGTTTCTCCTGTTCTGGGCATTTCCTTTCATGGAATCCACACTGTGCGGCCTTCTGCAATTGGCTCAGCGGCCTCAAGGCCCCTTTATCCTGTGGAGTGTCGGAACCTCAGTTCTGGTTAAGGCTGAATAACCACGATGTAGCTGGACCACAGTGGGAATTTCCGCTATCCTGGGTGCCCGGGCTTCCCTTCCCCTGCCCCTCTGGGTCCATGGCTTGGGGTCCTTCTCCTCTCACACGCTGTCTCTCCCACCAGGTTGTGCCTTCCTTACATACTGCGCCAGGGACTCTGCCATCAAAGCTCAGACGGCCTTGCACGAACAGAAGACCCTGCCGGGGGTGAGTCGTCCATGGAGCGGAGGGGCATTCACAGCCGGGGTGGGGGGCTCGGCTGGGCCTCCCTGTACCTATGGACTCAGATAGAACAAAAGGGGCATAAGTGTGAGCATCTATTGGGCGCCTGCTGTATGCTGGGCTCTGTGTGTCACAGGAGTGATGGTCATAGGCAGCACAGCGGACCTGGTCAGAAATGCACCTCTATTGCTTCACAGAGGCCCCGGGGGTGCATTGGGCAAGGGTCCAGGCCACCCTTGGGGCTGGAGCAGAGGCAACGACTCGAGATGGGGAGGAAGGGGACGGGGCACGAGGAGAGGGAGTGGCAGGGTCTTCTGGCCACAGAGACGGAAGCCTTCCTTCCCCCACCAGAGACATGAAGGATGCATTTGATGTTTCATGGGACTCTAATAATACACCTGGGGCTGCGGACTTTACAAAGCCAAGATCATTTAGCTCCCAGTTCTGGGGGTTCGAGGGCACACGCTGGCACTGGGGTAGCTCTGGCAAAGTCCTCACGGTGGGTGATGTTCAATGACTGGAGCATCTGCAGCAGATGGGAACCACGTGGGAAGAACAGATGGGGGTCGGGTCAGGTGGGTACAAAGCCACTCTGTGAGCAGGTGGGTGTGCATGTGCACATCTACCTAAGACCGTCCACGTGGCTCTTTAAAACTCGGAGGCAGCTTGGGAAGGAGGCAGGGATAGTCAGGGAGTCCAACAAGACCGCTTGATTCTACCTCCCTGGCTCTGGGATTCCAAGTGTGCACATCACACTTGTTTCTATATGTGAGTGTGGAAGGAAGAGTCAGTTCCTCCTATGTGCACTGAATGGGCTTTGAGCAAGTCATAATTTCCTCAGCCCCAGACATTCCCTTTCACACAATTCCATCCATCTACCCACCCATCCATCCATCTACCAATCCATCCACCTATCATCCATCCATCCACCCATCATCCATCCATTCACTTATCATCCATCCATCCACCCACCCATCCATCCATCCACCCATCATCCATCCATCCATCCATCCATCCATCCATCCATCCATCCACCCATCCATTCATCCACCCACCCACCCATCCACCCATCCATCCACCCACCCACCCATCCACTCACCCACCCACCCATCCATCTGTCCATCCACCCATCCATCCATCCATCCATCCACCCATCCATCCATCCATCCATCCATTTATCCGTTCAGTCATCCATTCACCCCACCACCTCTTTGCTTGGTGAGGAGACCATGGCTTCCTGGTTCCCAGCACAGCTGAGCAAACTACCTCCCAGTCAAAGGGATCCATCCCACCCCTCCATGCTCACTCTTCATATACTGTTTCTTATGGTCTCATCAGTTTGTGCACAATGATTGTTACATGTAGCCCAGGCTGGCCTTGAACTCAGAGATTTGCCTGCATCTGCCTCCCGAGTACTGGGATTAAAGGCGTGTGCCACCACACCTGGCTCAGGGTAGAAGTTTTCTCAGTGGCCCGTGGACTGCACAACCATGATTGACACAGGAGAGTCATGTTCCGAATTGTTCTAAATGGACAGGTCCCCCCCTAAAATCCAGTGTCAAAGTTAACTTCACATTTACAGACCTTGTAATGACTGGAAACTTTGATATTCACAGTGCCTGTGGCTGCACCCATGCCGTGCTCGGTCAGGCATGTATTACCCCACGGGCACAGCCATGTGCCAATAAAACTTTATTAGAAACACAACTGTGGGGCCTGATGGGGCAGCCCTGAGGGTGGTGGCTCGAAGTGCCCCCTCAGGGCTCGCACCTCCTGTGGGCCTCTTGGAGAGTGTTGTCCTGCTGCTGGGACTCAAAAGTTCTGAGCTGATGTCGTTTAATCTGAGAAACTGACGTGTGATGTGAAAGCGTCTCATGGCCACAGGGTGTGGGACAGCGAAGATGGGGAACGTTCTAGACTTGGAGCCAACTGCCATTGTACTGCGTATCTGGAACATTCTGAAACTCAAGACCAGAAGCCGTGGAAATTAAGGACCTGGAACGTTCTGGAATGGAGGCTAGCCGCCCGAGGGACTCTGGGAACCTGCAGCATGATGAGTGCTTGGCGATCTAGAATGTTCTAGACTCCGCTGCCAGTGCTGGATGTGAGTGATTCAGAATGTTCCAGACTCCGCATCCAGCCGCCCTGGCGGGCATTCTAGAGTGTGCGGGACTGCAGCCATGTCCCCCCACCGCGAGTCCCCACCCAAAGATGCAACTGCGGGGGACAGGCACAGAGGACCCCACGTGGCCCTGCACTGACAGCGGGGGAGGCCTCTGCCACACTGCAACAGGATACATCAGAGCCTTGCCATTCTGCGTCTGTCTTCATTGAGATAGGGGTTGGCGTCCAGCTACAAACCTCCAGGCCTCAGTTTCTCCACATGCCACACTGGCCCAGCAGACAGGAAGACTAAGGCTCAGAGAGGGAAGGCCACCTGCCTGCGGATGCTCAGCAGAGGCCTTGCTTGGCTGTCAGGCGTCTGGGTGCTGTGCCGCCCCTCACCGGTCTAGGCAGGGTTCTCTGACAGCGGTCCCCTCCGTGGAGACCACGTCCCAGCCCAGAACCTCCATAAAAAGTCCCAGGATCAGGGAGAGACTCTGCTACAAGTAACAGGGTGAAGAGTGAAACGGGACACCTGGGGGACCCGCCGTGGTCACGCATGCACCGGTGCGCACTCGTGGAGGATCCACCCACCACCACGCGGGCGGCTCCCAGAACCCCCCCCCCCCCCCCATTGTGCCCTCTCCCCGACTAAAAGCGTCTTCCCGCGCTTTTTCTGGTCTGTGTAGTATTCTGCAGCCCAGTGGCGTAATTCATCCGTCTAGCTGAGGGTGCATGCTCTGGTTCTGGTCCCATCTCTGGGCGTCAATCTGACTGGCTAAGGGTGAGGGTTTGGGGGCGAGCCGCCATCCCCCCAGCACTGGGGAAGGCGTCAGTTTTGAGGAGGGGCAGGGGAGGGCTGCTGGGAGGGAGGGTCCCCGCGAGGGCACTCTGGCTGAGGCCTTTAATGCTGCGATGAGAGGCTGTAACTGCAGTCACGGCACTAAGGCGCCATGGCGGGGTTCAGGGTAGGTGAGGGGTTCGCGGTGTCCAGGTGAGAGGGGAGAGTGGGCCGTGGCCGCCTGAGTGGGGTGTTCTCTCTCTTCCGCGGCTTCCACGGACGTCTGGTTCTGGAATCTTCCAACTGCGGAAGAAACCTGCAGGGCCCCAGCTAGGGGCCTCAGTTTGTCCAAAGGCCTCAGTTTCCCCGTCTGTAACACACCGGGCTCAGAGATGAAATGGGTCCCGAACAGAGACCCGGCTCCAGCGGGAGACATGGTCTCCCCCACAGAACTCCTACTGCTGCCTCAAAACCCGCCAAAGATTTTCTCCTCTGTGGGAGTGGGCAACTTCTGGTGGTGGCGTCCCACTCTGCGACACTAGTGAGGGTCCTCCCTGGGGTGCCCCCAGACCTTATCCAACAGGAAATGGTGTTGGGTGAAGTAAAGAGAAAGGAGGGGCGGGAAGCGGGGCAGAGACGGGAGCTGCAGAAGGTGCAGGGGGGAGGGCGGGCACCTGGGTGGGACAGATGGGGGGAGGCGGGGAGTGGGGGGGGGGGAGACCCAGCTCCGACGCTCGCTCAGCGGAGGCACGTGGTGCGGGCTGGGAGGGCGCTCCGTGGTCCCTTCTCCGTCACTGTGGGGTGGAGGGGGGACCCCAGGAGCGCTGGAGACCAAGGTCGGTGATGGGGTGATGGCGACAGAACCGGGCGCACCCCTCCTCCCCTCCCCTCCCCTCCCCTCCTCCTCCCTCATCTCTAAAAGATTATATTTAAATCTCTTTTGTGCGCCGCGAGATCTGAACTCGGAGGGGCCCGAAGAGGCGGTTTCCATGGCAGCGACAACTGCCGGCTTCCGCGGGGTGAATCAGCGTTGCCATGGCAACCCCATCTTCATCTGCCCAAGGTGCTAGAGAGGATGGTGGAGGGGGAGGGCCGGCGGGGGCGTGTGGGAGGGGCCGTGGGGGACCAGGAGGCTAGATCTGGGGGACCCCTCCCCTGCCTCGTCCCCCTACACCCCTCGCTGCCCTGACCCCAGAAGCGGAACTATCCGGTTCAAATCGCCTCCCTCCCCGACCCCGGGGTCGGGTGTGGTACCCAGGTGCAGAGGGGATGGGGTGCGGGGGGGGCTGGGTTGAGAGGATCTGGCTGGCTGCTGGGGCAGGGTCCAGGCAGGTAGTGCGAGTCCCCCGGAGGGTCTTAGAGGAGGGGAGGGGATGGGCTCCCAAAGTGGGTGCAAGAGGAGGATTCCGGAAGGGGAGGGGCCCGGAGGAAGTCGAATGCACTGGAGGGGGGAGGGGTGTGCATGAGGGGAGAGGTGTGCAGGAGGCAAGGGGTGTACGGGAGGGGAGGGATGTGGGAGAAGGGAGAGGTGAGCAGGGGGGAGGGGTGAAGGGGGCAGAGGAGAGGGGTGGGGTGCACTATGAGGGCTGCTCACAGCCAGGTGGGGGCAGCGCTGGAGGGGAAGAGGCCAAGGTGGGGGGAGCGAGGGTCACTGGGCTGGTCCAGGACTGTCAGTCAGGTGTGCGCATCCTAGCCCTGAGGTCACAGGGCTGCGTGTGAAGGGGCTAGCCTGATCTGACTTGGTGGCGACCCCACTCCTGGCTCCTGGGCCTTCTTGGTCCCCTCCTTCCTTACCCCTAGCGTGGGGTGTCGCTAAGCTCCACTCCCTCCCCCTGTCTGGAGGGAGACAGAGTAGAGGCAGGAGGCATTGAGGACCCCCAAGGAAAGGGGAGACGAGTAGGAGTTCACCCAAGTGAGTCTCCCAGTCAGGAGGAGGGACTCATCCAGTTACCAAGGGATGCAAACAACGGCCTTCCAGACGTGCAGCCCCTTTCCAGTCTGTCCTCGGGGCTGTGTGGGGCAGGGGAGCCATACCATCAGATGCCACTTTCTGGGGTGGGACACACAAGAGTCCAGAACAGTGGGTTCAGGTATCAGTCAGCTACTGCCCAGTAACTAACACTCCCAAACATTTTATTTGTTCGTGATTCCCCAGGCCAGCGAAGGCAACTTAAGTTCTTCAAAGGAGTCCTCCTGGGAGTCATCAGCAGCTAGCCCAGGCTGGCACACTTGGACTCTGTGTCCAGAGAGCAACAAGCTCTCTAGCATGAAGTTCACAGCTGTGGCTTCATTTCCAGCATGTTCTCTGCCGGAGGAAGTCACTTAGCCAAGTCCAGACACAGGGCTCAGAAACAAACTGACTTCTTGAAGACAGAAATGGCAATGTGAAATTGACGCACAGAGCTCGGGGATCCCCGCCATTTCCAAAGACAGTCTGTCCTGTTTTGAGGATAACTGTCATTGGGTTTTGAAGGCTAGCTAAGAGTTTGCGGGCCTAGTTTTGTCCCTGGGTTTGATTGCCTGAGTATGTGCCAAGAAAAAGTGGGCAGCCGGTGCCTGGCAGAGCTTAGAGAAGGTCCCCGCGCCCTACTCGGTCCCTGGCCACCCTGACTATGTCCCCCACTTTCCACAGATGGCGCGCCCGATCCAGGTGAAGCCGGCCGACAGTGAGAGCCGTGGAGGTAGTAGTAATCTCCCCGTGGCCGTGGCCTCTGCAGCAGGTCCTGTCCGCAGCCTCAGGGTCGGGGCTCCGGCTGCTTCCCCAGACTTCAGACACCCCACACCCTTCCCGTTCCCTCACGGGTGCCCGAAGGCTGCAGACTTGGGATGTGGGGAGAGGTGTGGGCAAGGCTGTGGGGACCTCGTGTATATGTAGGAGCTCGGTAAAGCCCAGCCTTGCCAGTCCCTGTCACGCTCCTGTAGCGCGCGCTCTCTCCTGATTCTGACTGTCCCCCAGTCTCCGATCTCTTCCTCCCTAACGCCCCCTCAGTGTCTCTGCTTCCCTTCCCTTCTCCATCAACCCCGGGCGACAGGCAGCAGGGCGGCCTGAGCAAAGGTCCCGGGGCAGCTCAGGTCAGGGCTGAGGGTCTGCAGGGCTAGCGCGGGCTCAGCGGGGCCATGGGCCGGGGCTCCGCCCACAGGGGACCGGAAGCTGTTCGTGGGCATGCTCAACAAGCAGCAGTCGGAGGAAGACGTGCTCAGGCTCTTCCAGCCCTTTGGCGTCATCGACGAATGCACAGTGCTGCGAGGACCCGACGGGAGCAGCAAAGGTGACTGGCAGGCGGTGGGGCGGAGCCTCGCGGAGGGGAGGAAGAGATAGGCCTGAGGTGGGCGTGGCCTGTGGGAAGGGGTAGCGCGGGTGGGGTGGGTCAGGAGGGTGATGGCAGGGACCTGTGGGGAGGGCTGAGGTTGCACCATTCTTGAGGATTTTCTTTCGTTTTCTTTCATTTATTTATTTATTTGTGTTTATTTATTTATTTATTTATGTTTATTTATGTTTATTTATTTATTATGTACACAGTGTTCTTCCTGCATGTACACCTGCAGGCCAGAAGAGGGCGCCAGATCTCATTGCAGATGGTTGTGAGCCACCATGTGGGTGCTGGGAATTGAACTCAGGACCTCTGGAAGAGCAGCCAGTGCTCTTAAACTCTGAGCCATCTCTCCAGGCCTTGAGGATTTTCATATCCTAGTCCTGAAGTGGAGGGAAGACAGCGGATAGACTTGGGGTGGGGAGAGGAGATGTGCACAAGGCTGTCATTAGGACCCCTGCAGTAAGTGTAGGAGCTTGGTACCGCCCACCGGGCTTCTTAGTCCCTGTCGCTCCCTATTTTAACTACAGCTTGCAAAAAGAGAGGGGCTGGAGGGGGAGGGAGGGGCCGGCTGCGGAGAAGGGGTCAGGTCTATGGGAGGGCGGGGTCATCCCTGGCCCCACCTGAGTGTCTATTTAGTTAGGGCTGTTGTGTCCCGGCAGATTGGTCCTCCAGACCATGGCCCAAGCCCCTCAGCTTCTCTCCCTGAGTGTCTCAAGTTCTGTCTGTCTTCAAGTGTCTGTCTGTCCATCTGTATGACTGGCAGACTGGTCCCGCCCTGGATCCATGGTATATGACCCTGGCCGGGGTTGCATCTGCCTCCGTGGCCACCACATGACTTTGTGTGTCCGTCTATCTGACCAGCTGCCATGACCACAGGTCCCAGTTCACCCTCTGCACCCTGGAGGTCAGAGCTGGTGACTGACTCTTCAAACCTTTGTCTCAGTCGTTCTAACGGGAACTTCTGGGGCGAAGCCTGCATCTGAAAGTGTGTGTGACTGTCGGGGTCTCAACACAGTCGCTGGCAGCGGAACTGACTTCCTGCTGGCTGGCCACATGGACAGACAGATGGATAGGTGGATGGATGGGTGGATGGACGGATGGGTGGGTGGGTAGGTGGATGGGTGGATGGACAAATGGATGGATGGGTGGGTGGATGGATGGATGGATGGACGGCCGGATGGACGGATGGATGGATGGGTGGGTGGGTGGATGGATGGACAAATGGATGGATGGGTGGATGGATGGATGGATGGACGGACGGACAGATGGATGGATGGACGGACAGATGGGCAGATGGGTGGGTGGGTAGGTGGACGGATGGATGGACAAATGGATGGACGGGTGGGTGGGTGGATGGATGGACGGCCGGATAGACAGATGGATGGACGGGTGGGTGGGTGGATGGACGGACGGACGGATGGGTGGGTGGATGGATTGGGTGGGTGGATGAATGGATAGACAGACAGACAGACCGACAGATTAGTGGGTAGGTGGGTAGAGAGACGAGGGATGGAAATGTGGGTACATAGGTGGAGGTGGATGACCGACTTTTTTCTGTTTGGCTGAATTCATTGCTGACATCTCCGTCTCTCCCTGGGAGATGGTGGTGTGTCTGGTCTGTCCAGGCCACCTTGGCCTTCCCATGTCTACTGTCTTTCGTGAGTGGCAATCAAGGGCTCCGTCTCCCCTTTATTCCCACCTTCTACGTCCTTCGGTCTGTCCCTCACCTCTACCTCCCTCTCCCCCAGGCTGTGCCTTCGTGAAGTTTTCCTCCCACACAGAGGCCCAGGCGGCCATTCACGCCTTGCATGGCAGCCAGACCATGCCGGTGAGTGAGAACTGCCCCTGCTACAGCGGCGGGGGGGGGGGGGGGACCGATTAGGGCGGCTGGGAGCAATGGTGTTACACCTTCCTAGACTGCATCAGACGGGAGGGCAGAAGGCTGCGTCAGGGCTGTGTGACCAGACGCTGTCCTGGTGCATCGTGGTCTTAGCTTGTGGTGGTGACAGGCTAAGGAGCAGGACCAATGGCTGGCTGGACAATGTGTGGAGACCAAGGACTCCATTCTAGGGCAGTAGGGAGCCACATTTGGGCACCAAGTGAGGGGGGGCTGCCAGGCCGTTTGCATAGGTCCTTTATGTCACGGTCACTAGGGGGCAAAGGAAAAGATTCTGAGAGCCTGGCTGGGCAGCCGAGCTCAGGTCCCCACCGGGAGGATGAGGGCCGGTCTGGAGAAACTGTATGGAGATAATGGGGGTCCTGGGGACCCATGAGGCCAAGAGGGAGTGGGAAGCAGGTGTCCAAGATGTAGAACCACCCAGGTATGGCTGTGGTCTATCCCCCAGGGAGGGTCCCCAGGAGTCTGCATCACTACAGGGAAATGGAATCCCCAGCCTTACAGCGGCGGCTTTCTCCCTAACGTGGCTGGGCAGGTTCAGGTCACTCCTAGGCTGACTCCCTCACAACCAAAGCCAAGGAGCAGGTTGTCTGTCCAAGGAGGTGTCTGCAAGCCTGGCTGGGAGCATCTGGGCCCAATTACCAGAAAGGACCTGGCTGAGTCCTGATCCTGAACTAAACTCTGGATCCTGGGCCCCAGTTCCTCATATACTGACCCCTGATCTTAGTTCTAGAGCATGAGTGATTGGCGCAGTCACCCATCATGTCCCAGGTGTGGGCTGTATGATGCGCCCCCCAAACTCTTCCGCTCTCCCTCTCTGGCTGCTGGACTCCCCCCCTGCCTTTGAGGATATGGTTACAGCTAGAATCCCCCTCCCCCAACACACACACACTTTTGTACCAGACATTAACCTTGGACTTGCATGCTCCACCGTTACCATGGCTGTGGCTGCCTCGCAGACCCTATGGCCATGTCGCCACACCGCCAGGCCCAGGATGACAAGCCCTATGCACTTCTTGTATGGTCCTGGCTCTTCTGGATGTGGACTCATTCACGGCTGGCACCTCCACTCTCGTCCACGGGGACTCCCAGAGTCCTGGCTACCCCTGCCCTTCCGACACCACACACTGTCCTTACAGGGGGCCTCCTCCAGCCTGGTGGTCAAGTTCGCAGACACGGACAAAGAGCGGACTCTGAGGCGCATGCAGCAGATGGTTGGCCAGCTGGGCATCCTGACGCCATCCCTCACCCTGCCCTTCAGCCCCTACAGTGCCTACGCCCAGGCTGTGAGTGGCCCTAGCATGTGGGCACTGAGTCTGGGACTCAGCCCCACCGCCCCACCTTTCCCTCTCCCCATCACTCATTCTCTCTGACCCAGGATCCTGTCCTGGATGGGGCTGAGCCTCAGGCCCAGCAGGGTAAACTGAGCTGCAGTCCAGGCTGAAAGCCCAGATCTTGACAGTCCTAAACACAGCCACCACCCTAATCCCAGATGTACCCTGACTATGGGCAGAATACTAATGTCTCACTCATTCTGACCCAAATGGCTGGAGCCCGGATCTCACCGTCCCTAAATCTGCATTTGGTCTAGCTCTGGCTAAATCCTCAAGGCTGACGTCAGCTGAGCTCCTGACTCAGCCTTGATCATTGCCTGATCCCTGATCCCAGACTGAGCCCCAATCTCTGTCTGTGTCTTGTTCCTGGGCAGACCCAACCCCAATCTGGAGTCCTTTTTCTAAACCTAGTTCTGGGTCAAGGCCAAGCCTAGATCCTGTGCTGACCCAGATCCCATATCCTAGACTGATCTCCAGTCTCAGGCTGAATCCTGATCCACAACTGAGCCTCAGTTTCTAACTTAGCCCTGAACCCAGACTGAGCCCCGATCCCAAGCTGAGCCCTGACTGAGCCCTGACCCCAGCTTTAGCTGTAACGTCCATCGAATCCTCCCCCACCCCTGCTCCTGAGCCACGGTGGGACTGGTCCCACTCACAGCGTCTCTGTCCCCAGCTCATGCAACAGCAGACGACAGTGTTGTCCACCTCCGGCAGCTACCTGAGCCCCGGCGTAGCCTTCCCCCCTTGCCACATCCAGCAGATTGGCGCCGTCAGCCTTAACGGTCTGCCCGCCACGCCCATCGCCCCCACCTCCGGTGAGAGCAGCTTCCGGGAGGCCTCAGGACAAGCGGGCAGCCCCCCCCCCCCGTGTCTGGGTGCCCCCACTCCATGTCTCACCCTCTCCCCTCCTCAGGGTTACACTCGCCCCCACTGCTGGGCACTGCCGCCGTTCCTGGCCTGGTGACGCCCATTCCCAATGGCTTCCCAGGTGTCCTGCCCTTCCCTGGGGGCCACCCCGCCCTGGAGACTGTGTATGCCAATGGCCTCGTCCCCTACCCAGGTAACTTGGGAGAGAGAGTGCCCGAGAGCGTAGGACAGTGCCTGGAGTGGGCGCGGTGACTGGGGGACATACCTAGGTCCCCACAGCACGACATCCTGGGCATGGCAGGGCAGGACAAGGGGCGTCTAGGCAGGTGTGAGCACAGGAAGAGGCTGGGGAAGGAGGGCTACGTGAGAGTCATGTACGGGGAAGGTTCTGGGTTCAAAATCCAGTTCAGTAATCTCACTGGTTTCCAGAACTGGAAAAATGGGACAGGTTGACGTCAAAGGCTGGATGCGGGGTGGGGAGGGGCATTCGGCCAATATTAGGCCCCAGCCTCTCCCTGTTTGCTCTTTGAGATGGGGGTCACATTATGTAGTCCAGGCTGGCTTTCAATTCCCTGTGTAGCCCAGGCTGGTCTAAAGTCACTCCTTAGCCTTGGCTGGCCTTAAACTAAGGGCAGTCCTCTTGCCCCGCCTCCCAAGTGCTGAGATGACCTGGGAGCCCTGGCACCTGACTTCATTCTTTACGGCCAGCTAAGATTCTGGACATTGTAAAAGTGGGGCAAGGTGGGTCTGAGCCGCCAGCCCTGCGTGCTAATGGAGGACACTCGGGGATCCCCCCAGGCTGGGGCGGGGGTCTGGGCGGGGGATGGGGTGTGGGAGATGACTCTTAGGTAAGGGGTTTTCCTGGGTGCCGAGAGGGCAGGGTCAGGGGCTGCGGGGTGATGGGCACACGGTTTCCGTCATCTGCTCTCCGGGGGCCCTGGGCGAGTTGATGCACATCTGTTTCTCGGACTTGCCATAGGGGGTAACACAGGAGGGGGACTGGGGTGGTTGTGGATGTCGGGGCTCAGCTCGTCCTCTGCCCCACAGCTCAGAGCCCCACGGTGGCAGAGACCCTCCATCCTGCCTTCTCCGGAGTCCAGCAGTACACAGGTAGAGGCAGCCCCGACCCTGTGGCTCGACAGTCCTGGTCAAGCCTATGCCCACCATGACCGCTCCCCTCAGGGTCCCACCCTCTACTCCTGCTTGGGGTCCCACCCTAAGGAATGTGCACAGTCCCTCGAGCCTGGCGCCCCTTACCCGTCGTCCCCATGTCAGGGCCTGACCGCCTCCTCCAAAGCCAGGGCTGCCCCTGGCGTCATCCATACACAGCCCCGCCCAACTTTGTGAATCCGGCCCCACCTCTTGAGAGAGATGCCCACCCAGTGCCTTGCCATGAGCCCTTAACCCGCCCCAAGGCGGAGCCCCACCGCTAAGTTCTTAGGCTTGGTTCCATTCCTGCCTCGTTTAGCCACCGCCCTGTTCTCCATCATGACCCCACCCCGGCTGTCTTCAGCTCTAGCCCCCACTCCCCTGTGGGTCTCCACCCTTATACCCTCTCTGCTCTGCCCGTCCTGCTATGGCCACGCCCCTGTCCCTCATAGCCCTTCTCTTCACTATGGCCTAACGCCACTCAGAACCCAGCCCTCCACTCCCGCCCTACCTCGTTAGGTGGGTGGGCCTGCTCCTTTGAGTTGAGGGTGGGGTGGGACCAGAGAGGCGGGGCCAGGGATGAGGGGTGGAGCCAGGGATGAGGGGTGGGGCCAGGGCTGAGGGGTGGAGCCAGGGATGAGAGGCGGGGCCAGGACTGAGAGGCGGGGCCAGGGATGAGGGGTGGGGCCAGGGATGAGAGGTGGGGGCCAGGGCTGAGGGGTGGAGCCAGGGCTGAGAGGCGGGGCCAGGGATGAGGGGTGGAGCCAGGGCTGAGGGGTGGAGCCAGGGATGAGAGGCGGGGCCAGGACTGAGAGGCGGGGCCAGGGATGAGGGGTGGGGCCAGGGATGAGAGGTGGGGGCCAGGGCTGAGGGGTGGAGCCAGGGCTGAGAGGCGGGGCCAGGGATGAGGGGTGGGGCCAGGGCTGAGAGGCGGGGCCAGGACTGAGGGGTGGAGCCAGGGATGAGGGGTGGGGCCAGGGATGAGGGGTGGAGCCAGGGATGAGGGGTGGAGCCAGGGATGAGAGGTGGGGCCAGGACTGAGAGGCGGGGCCAGGGATGAGGGGTGGAGCCAGGGATGAGAGGTGGGGGCCAGGGCTGAGGGGTGGAGCCAGGGCTGAGGGGTGGAGCCAGGGATGAGGGGTGGGGTCAGGGCTGAGGGGTGGGGCCCAGGCTGAGAGGCGGGGCCAGGGCTGAGAGGTGGGACCAGGTCATGAGGGGCAGAGCTAGGGCCTGAGAGGTGGGCTCAGGGCACAAGGGGGCGGGGCCACAGCTGGTGAGGAGCCGGGATGAAGAGCAGAGGCATAGCGCAGGGCAGGGACATGGAGCAAGGCGCAGGGCCCACCGCTCAGCCACGGACCCGCCCTCTGGCCAAGGCCTCATTCCTCAGCTGTTTGCTGCAAGGCCCCGCCCACTCCGGATCTATCTTTATTTGGCCACGCCCCGTGCCCTGGCCCTGGCCCTCAGACCCCCGTGCAGCCCCCGCTCTGACCCTGCCCTGCTTGTCCCAGTCACCCCCTCCACCCCTCCACCCTGCTCTGGCTGTGCCTTGACCCCGGGTTCTGGCCCCAACTGGCCTTTCCCACATCCCTGCTCTGCCCGACTCAGCCCCGGCCCCACCCCCATCCGCGCCCCTACCCTTCAAGCCCAAGCGCCGCCCCTCAGCCCTGCCCCCACTATACACCCCCCTCCACCCCGACCCACCCCTCAGCCCCAGGCCCTGCCCCCAGCCCTCGCTATGCCCTCAACCCTGGCCCCAATTCCCCCCAGCCCCGCCCTCTGCCCCGACCCGCACCTCAGCCCCGCCCACTGCCCTGGCCCCACCTCTCAGCCCCGCCCACTGCCCCGGACCCGCCCCTCACCTCAACCCCGCCCTCTGCCCCGACCCGCACCTCAGCCCCGCCCACTGCCCTGGCCCCTCACCTCAGACCCGCCCTCTGCCCTGGACCCGCCCCTCACCTCAGCCCCGCCCTCCACCCTGGACCCGCCCCTCAGCTCTGCCCTCTGCCCTGGACCCGCCCCTCACTTCAGCCCCACCCTCTGCCCTGGACCCACCCCTCACCTCAGCCCTGCCCCCTGCCCCGGACCCGCCCCTCACCTCAGCCCCGCCCTCCACCATGGACCCGCCCCTCACTTCAGCCCCGCCCTCTGCCCCCCCACCCGCACTTCAGCCCCGCCCTCTGCCCTGGACCCGCCCCTCAGCCCCACCCTCTGCCCTGGACCCGCCCCTCACCCAGCCCTGCCTTCTGCCCTGGACCCGCCCCTCATTTCAGCCCCGCCCTCTGCCCCAGACCCGCCCCTCAGCCCCGCCCTCTGCCCCGGACCCGCCCTCAGCCCCGCCCTCAGCCCCGCCCCGCCCACTGCCCCGGCCCCGCCCACTGCCCTGGCCCCACCTCTCAGCCCCGGCTCCGCCTCTGCTCTCCGCAGCCATGTACCCCACCGCGGCTATCGCGCCTGTGGCGCACGGCGTCCCGCAGCCTCCGCACCTCCTGCAGCAGCAGCGCGAAGGTGAGGCGGCCCCTGCCAGCCCCGCCCTCACCTGCACTGCTGAACTCGCCCCTCCATGGAACGGCGGCCCTTGCGGTTCCCACCCCCTATGGACAAGCTTGGAAACCCCCTTTTTGGTGCTCGTTTGTGTGAGGAGGCATCTTGGGTAAACTGAGGCCTTCCCAGTGAAGCCAAGCCTATGGAGGGCATGCGGGAGGAAACAGGAGTCCGGAGTCCGAGGAGGTATCTTGGGTAAACTGAGGCCTTCCCAGTGAAGCCAGTCCTGTGGAGGGAATGCGGGAGGAAGCAGACCTACGGAGTCCGGCGACCCAAGGCCGTTCTCATCCTCTTCTGGCTGGACACTGTGACCAGTGCCTCAGTTTCCCCATCTGCAGCTCAGGCGTCCTGTCCTCACCTGTGTAGGCCGGGAGGCATCACGAAGTCCCTGGCATCCCCCCTTTCCCGCCCTGCCTGCGGACCAGGAGGGCACTGGGGAGAGGTGTCCTGTGATGAGGGCCCGCACCTCTGCGTGCGGGAGCTGGGTGCAGAACCTAGAGTCCCTGGCCTGCCCCACCGCGGGCCACACCTGTCTCCCAGACATCTTGCGGCCAAAGCCACCAGCAGGACACGTTTTCTGACTGTTGACAGCCAGAACACTTGGGGAAGTCCCTCCTCCAACTCCAGCCCGGAAGGAGGGCTCGGGCGCAAAGGCGCTGGCCACCAAGCCTAATAACCCGATTTTGATCCCCAGAGCCCACGTGGTGAAGGACCCATGCAAAAGGTCCTCTGACCTCACACGGGCACTGTGGCCCAGGCGCGCTCCCAACATTAACTAGATGGATAGACAGACAGACAACCTCTATACCCCCAGCTACAGCCACCCCTGAACGAATTCTCTCCTCTCTCTCTGCACGCGCGTGTGTGTGTGTGTGTATAGGTGTGTGTGTGTGTGTGTGTGTGTGTGTGTGTGTGTGTGTGTGTGTGTGTTTGAGACTAGGTCTCACTGTGTAACTTACACTAGACCCATAAACACAGCAACCTCCTGCCTCAGCCTCCCAAGTGTTGGGATGACTGACGGGTGTGTGCCACCAGCCTGGCCTCCAGGCTTCTTTGAAATGTCAGACCAGCACACGGCCCACAGAGTCGCTGCTGAGCCACCCCAGCACCCCCCAGCACCCCATTCACCTGACTCCAGTACATGGCCTGGAGGTGGAGGGCTGCAGTGGAGGACGCGGAGCTTAGGGAGTCAATCAAGCGGAGACCTCGGCTTTGTGGGGTTCAGGGTGGGGAAGGAGGTGTCTGGGTTTGGTCTGTGATGAGCACTGGCTGGGTGAGCAGCATATGGGAGGGATCAAGGCTCTCAGGGCTCACCTCTGCTCCCCACCATTCTCTCTGGGGGTCTCGGGAAGCCCCCACTGCATCCACAGCCAGAGACAAGTACTGGACCCCAACCCAGGGGGGGTCCGCCTCCTCTCCTTGGGGGCTTTATGTCTTTCTCTCCCCCACCTACAGGTCCCGAAGGCTGTAACCTGTTTATCTACCACCTCCCCCAGGAGTTTGGAGACACGGAGCTGACCCAGATGTTCCTCCCCTTCGGCAATATCATCTCCTCCAAGGTGTTTATGGATCGGGCTACCAACCAGAGCAAGTGTTTCGGTGAGTGGGCCCGCCTAGAATCCCCAGTGAGGGGCTGGGGGCGTGGTCAGGGTGGAGCCCCGCCTAGAATCCCCAGTGAGGGGCTGGGGGCGTGGTCAGGGTGGAGCCCCGCCCAGAATCCCCAGTGAGGGGCTGGGGGCGTGGTCAGGGTGGAGCCCCGCCTAGAATCCCCAGTGAGGGGCTGGGGGCGTGGTCAGGGTGGAGCCCCGCCCAGAATCCCCAGTGAGGGGCTGGGGGCGTGGTCAGGGTGGAGCCCCGCCTAGAATCCCCAGGGAGGGGCTGGGGGCGTGGTCAGGGTGGAGCCCCGCCCAGAATCCCCCAGTGAGGGACTGAGGGCGTGGTCAGGGTGGAGCCCCGCCTAGAATCCCCAGTGAGGGGCTGGGGGCGTGGTCAGGGTGGAGCCCCGCCTAGAATCCCCCAGCGACGGGCTGGGGGCGTGGTCAGAGTGGAGCCCCGCCCAGAATCCCCCAGCGACGGGCTGGGGGCGTGGTCAGAGTGGAGCCCCGCCCAGAATCCCCCAGTGAGATGCTGGGGGCGTGGTCAGGGTGGAGCCCCGCCTAGAATCCCCCAGTGAGGGTCTGGGGGCGTGGTCAGGGTGGATCCCCGCCCAGAATCCCCCAGTGAGGGTCTGGGGGCGTGGTCAGGGTGGAGCCCCACCCAGAATCCCCCAGTGAGGGGCTGGGGGCGTGGTCAGGGTGGAGCCCCGCCCAGAATCCCCCAGTGAGGGGCTGGGGGCGTGGTCACGGTGGAGCCCCGCCCAGAATCCCCCAGTGAGGGGCTGGGGGCGTGGTCAGGGTGGAGTGCCTGCCTGGCTTGTATAAGGTCTGGACTAATCCTCAGAACCACATGGTGTTGTAGAAGTTGAGCAGGGCGGGAGGAGTGAGGCGGGAGGAGTGAGGCCCCCATCCAGGGACACACCTGTCTGGTGACACCCAGCTGGGACCCCTGCCCCTCACCAGCTCCCGTCACTTTGCCCCCCAGGATTCGTGAGCTTTGACCACCCGGCCAGCGCGCAGGCGGCCATCCAGGCCATGAACGGCTTTCAGATCGGAATGAAGAGGCTGAAGGTGCAGCTGAAGAGACCCAAAGACCCGGGACACCCGTACTGACCACGCCCACAGCCCCCCCGCTGTGGGTCTGGCCCCAGGTGAGCCGCCAGGCGGCCTGTGCCCTGCCCAGCCCTGGTGTCGTCCACCCCCTCCCCTCCCAAGCTCACGCTCCAGGAAGCCAGTGGGGACAAACCCCTCCCCATCACCTTCGGCTTGGGTGGCACAGAGGGTGGGATTCGGGTGGGGAGGTGGAGCGAAAGCTAGGCGCTCCCGCCAGGGGGGCTTCCCAGGGAAGGTTTTGAAGGATGAATAGAAGCTCATGCAGAAGTGGGCGTGTGGGTCGGTGCAGGGTGTGATGGGCGGGGCTTCTATCCAATCCGGTGAAGCTGTTCCCCTCCGGGAAGCCTAAAAGGTGTTCAGCACACGTCCCAGGCCTGGGTCCCTACAGTTGGAACTTGGAATACCCAGTTAAGCTTGGCCCAGACCTGAAGCAGAGGAGATGGGAGCCCGTCACCGCCTTCCGGTCCCCCACCTCTGCCCCCACCGGCTCCCGTGGACCCCGAGAGCCCTGTCTTCTGATTACATGCCCAGCGGGTTCACAAAACCCAGAGCGTACGCCACTCACAATCTCGCCAAACAAACAAAAAGCCAGATATACCCAAAACAAGCAAAAAAACAAAACCCCAAAGTCAGATTCCCATCGACCGCATTGTCAGCACTCGCTCTGGAACTGAACTGACTTTAAAGGTGGAATCAACTGCCCACGGCCTCATGGGAGGGGACAGCTCGGCCACCCGCTGCCGCCACCCACAGAGAGCCCAGAAATACTTTTGATTTTTCCCCTTTCTCTCTCTCTCTCTCTCTCTCTCTTTCTTTCTTTCTCTCTTTCTCTTCCTCCCTCCCTCCCTCCCTCCCTTTCCTTCCTTCCTTTCTTTCTTTTTCCTTCTCTGTTCTGATCACCTGAGGGCCCAGGGTCTGGTAGAGGGCACCAGTGTCTAGTCCTTCCGCGTGTTTTGTTTGTTATCTGGGTTTTATTTATTTTGGTTTCAATGAGGAAACCTGTCAATCAGGAACAAACCCCCAGCACATCCGCCAGGTCTTCACTTTTAGCCCAGTGTCCTGTGGATCTCTGCTCTGGGCTGGGGCGGAGCCAGTCTATAAATGTCCCCAAACTGACGGTGACGGTCAGGAACTGACGGGGTTTTCTTACCAGGACCAACGTGAAGTGGAGCAGGGTGTTCTGTGCCCCACTCCCCTCCCTTCCACTGCTCCCTAATGCCCCCCCTCCATCCTCCCTGGGTTGAGTGGTCGCCACTTCCAACCACCCCAGGACTTCTATGTAAATTACAGCCAAGTTTGGACACCAGCCCTCCCAGTGACCCCTCTTCCCCATCTGTCCCCCCACGCAGGCCCCCCCAATTCCAAAGCCACTGAGAGCCACATGGGGCATAGAATGCTCCGTGGTGTGGAGGGGGGGCGGTGGGGGAACAGGAGTCTGAGCCCAGGTCTGAGGGGTCCCTACACTGCCAATCACCATCTGCCCCTCGACTTGGGGACACCCCCTGTCGGCCCGGGAGGCTTTCCGGGCCAGCCAGTACCCTGTCCCGTCCCCCACTGCCCGTTCCCCCCCGTAGCCGCGCCCGAGAGCGCGTCATAGACTATGTATTTTTGGAGTATGAACCGCAGGGGCCAAACGGTGGCTCCGAGCCGGCCACTCCCCGGGACCAAGGACTGCCGAGGCCGGCTGGAGGCCGCCCCCCGCCGGACGCCAAACCAGGACCCCGCCAACACCATATACCTCCAGTCCTTGGGGTCCCCACGGCTGCTGCCACTGCCCGCGTCCAGGGCCGCCCCCCCTCCCGCTTTCACAGCCTTACTTGGGTGACCAGGTGTCCTTAGCTTCCCTCGGGGAAGCCTCCCGCCCCCCACTGTCCCCAGGTGTCCCCCACTGCCCCTCAGGTATCCCCCAGTGTCCCTCCCCCACCCCCGCCGCCCTCCAATCACCAGCCTTGAACTGAAGGTCTCCACCGAGTCGGACGTGGCCACACTGACCGCCAGACCCGGTTGCCGACACCGCGGACTCCGCACGCGGATACTTTTCATTTGTGGTCTTTTTCCAGACCACAGGGCAGGGCGGGGGTGGGGGGTTCACTGATAATCCGCTTCTGTTTCCTAGCTGGGGGATTGGGAGGACTGAGGTGGGGAGCCGCCCCTGTACATTACCCCCTGCCCACGTACCCACCGCAAAGCACAGAGTCGTTAGTTTGGACATCCCACCCGGGGGAGCGGGGTCCGGATCCCTTCTGACGAGTCCAAAAGCAAAACAAAAGAGACAAAAAAAAAAATTTAAGGTTGAAGAAAGTGCAAAAACCGATTTTTTAAAAATCGCTTTTCGTTTCTACCAACATGTTTGTTGACTGCTCCAAAACAAAGGAAAAAAAGTCAAAAAAAAAGTCAAAAAAAAAAAAAAAAGAGAGGAAAAAAAATATCCCACCGGATTCCGCCCGCCTTGTTTCGCGTCCCCTGTTCTGAACATTCCTACGGTGAGACTGTGCTCCGTCCAGTGCGAGCGTGTGTCCGCCCCGGTTCGCGTGGCCCGGGGTCGCCGCCGAGGGCGTGCTGGCGTGCACGCCGCCTAGTTCATGTTTACGAGCTGTAAATACCATTTTTATACTCCACTCGAGAAACCCTATGTGATTTGTACGACGGGCTTTATTTCTGCTACGACGAATTTCGTGAAATTTCAACTTCAAACTGAACGTTGGAGACAGCGGAGAGAGGGTGGGGAAGGTGGAGGGCGGGGAGGAAGTGTGGGCGTTCGTCCCCTGCCTCCTGTTCCTGTGCGTGCGAGGAGCGGCTCAGCGCCAAATCACCTCTCTTTGGTCTGGAAGGAAAAAAAAAACGAAAAGTTTATTTAATAAAAGTTTTACTTGTTAACAGCGACTCTCTCTCCCCGTGTTTTCCCATGCGTGGCGCATGGAAGAGCCACGCTCCTTATTTGAGGCTGAGTAATATTCCAGTGTGTGAATAAAACATTTTTTTCTGAGCTGGTCATGGTAGCCGCAAGTCCTTAACCCCAGCACTCGGGAGGCAGAGGCCGGCGGATCTGTGAGTTCGAGAGCAGCCTGGTCTACAGAGCGAGTTCCAGGACAGCCAGGACTGCACAGAGAAACCCTGTTTGGAACACCCCCCAACCCACCCCCCAAAGAAAAAAAAACTTCCCGTTTATCCTCATCTGGGCGTTTCTTCTGTTATTTGGAAATGTGACTTAAACATCTGTGGACATTCACCAGCAAGTTTCTTCCTGGATGATTCGGGTTTCACCTGGGTGATGGAACTCCACCCTGTCTCAGAGAAGTAAAACTAGGCCCCGCCCAGAATCCCCCAGTGAGGGGCTGGGGGCGTGGTCAGGGTGGAGCCCCGCCCAGAATCCCCCAGTGAGGGGCTGGGGGCGTGGTCAGGGTGGAGCCCCGCCTAGAATCCCCCCAGAGAGGGCTGGGGGCGTGGTCAGGGTGGAGCCCCGCCCAGAATCCCCCAGTGAGGGGCTGGGGGCGTGGTCAGGGTGGAGCCCCGCCTAGAATCCCCAGGTGAGGGGCTGGGGGCGTGGTCAGGGTGGAGCCCCGCCCAGAACCCCCAGTGAGGGGCTGGGGGCGTGGTCAGGGTGGAGCCCCGCCCAGAATCCCCAGTGAGGGGCGGGGGCGTGGTCAGGGTGGAGCCCCGCCCAGAATCCCTCAGTGAGGGGCTGGGGGCGTGGCTTTGCTGGTCACTTCGGGCCAGACTGCTGCTGATGGGCTGTGAACATGCCCTGCACTTGCTCCACCTTCTCCTGGACACCCGAGTTCGAATCCAGGTAAGACCCCCTCTTGGCTGAGGACGCTCAGCAGCCGGAGCTCGTGAGAGCTCAGTTTGCCTCCTCTGAAAAACGCTGATTCACGCGGCTGCGCCTGGAGCCTGCAGCACAAGCAGCAGGCAGAGCTGGGGATCTGGGTGGATCGATGGAGCATTTATTGAGCACCTGTTGTGTGCAGCGCACTGGGGCGGCTTGTGGACGTCGTGTTAAAGCAAAAAAATAATCACGTCCAAAGGTTTTAATGGGTTCCCTAAAATTTGCAAAATCCACGCTGCCTCCCCCACTTCTCAACCCCTGTCTCCCAGGCCGCCTTTCCCCCTCCCACCCGCAGGAGCAGCTGTGGCCAGGGTGGGCCTGCGCAGGCGCCACTCAGCCTTCACCATGGAAATGGTGTCATCAGGCCAAAATAACCGTCACCTGGGGGAGACTGAGGCCGGTGGATGGCGAGATGCATACCAGCCTGGGCAGCACCGTGAGATTCGGTCTGAAGATAGAATAATAAAGTAGAAAAGATGAGACTAAGTGAAAGAACATAAGGAAATTTTAAGATAAATTTCAAAGTGAAATTAAAATTTAAAACAAAACAAATTCATTTCAAAAGTTAATCAACTAATTTGTTAAGATAAACGGCCCACAAAATGCAGGCCACAACCCGCGCGTGGAGTGAGGTCACCTGTGCGTGGTGCTGTGCTGGCCGGACTGTGACAGCCTCGAAACTGTTAGGGCGTCATCAGGGTTGGTGGAGGTCACAGGCGGACGTCCAGCGTCTGCCCCGGGGTCCCCCGAGCCTGCAGCTCATTAGTTAGCCTAGGCTGGCCCGCAAGCCCGAGTTCTCTTGCCTCCACTTCCCACGTGGACGCTGGGGGTTCGAACTCTGGTCCTCATGCTTCCCCAGAGCCACCCTCGCAGGGTTCCTCCTGGGCTCTGCGGGGCTGCGCCTGCGACATCAGCCAGAGGGAGGGGTCGGGGGACACCCTGACCTCACCCCCTCCTCCTGCAGCTGGGGAAACTGAGGCACGGCACGGGGTGTGTGGGAAGGCTGGTAGGCCTGAACCGAGACCTCTCTCTGTCTCCTCCCCAGTTCCTGTCTCCTGCCCTCTTGGCTCCACATCTGGGGTGACTGTAGGGGGAGGGACCGACCACAAGATGCCAAGGCAAATTACAGCTGGAGGCGGGGTGGGGGTGCGGCTGTGGGGCTGGGTTACCATGTGGGGGTGTGAGGCTTGGGGGGGGTTGAGACTGGGAGAGGTGCAGCTGCGGGAGTATTGCGGCTGGAGAGGAGTGCGGTTTGGGGTTGCGGCCGGAGAGGCGTGAGGCTGCGGGGGTGCGGCTGCGTGGGGGAGGGGAGGGGGGAGGGGGCGGCAAGGTTGCGGGGTTACGGCTGGGGGTGCGGCTGCAGGGGTGCGGCTGCAGGGGTGCGGCTGGGGGTGCGGCTGCAGGGGTGAGGCTGGGGTGCGCGGCTGGGGGGGTGCGGCTGCAGGGGTGCGGCTGCAGGGGTGCGGCTGCAGGGGTGCGGCTGGGGGTGCGGCTGCAGGGGTGAGGCTGGGGTGCGCGGCTGGGGGGGTGCGGCTGCAGGGGTGCGGCTGCAGGGGTGCGGCTGGGGGTGCGGCTGCAGGGGTGAGGCTGGGGTGCGCGGCTGCGGGGGTGCGGCTGCAGGGGTGCGGCTGCAGGGGTGAGGCTGGGGGTGCGGCTGCAGGGGTGCGGCTGCAGGGGTGCGGCTGCAGGGGTGCGGCTGCAGGGGTGAGGCTGGGGTGCGCGGCTGGGGGGGTGCGGCTGCAGGGGTGCGGCTGCAGGGGTGCGGCTGGGGGTGCGGCTGCAGGGGTGCGGCTGCAGGGGTGCAGTTGCGGGGAAGGGTCCGGACTGGGGGTGTGGGTTTGGGGAGCCGTTGCTGGCAGGGGTCGGGGTGCTGGCAGGGGTCGGGGTGCTGGCAGGGGTCGGGGTGCTGGCAGGGGTGAAGCGGCAGCGGGGGGGGGCACCCCACCCGGCTCCCGCCCTCAGGTTGCCGGCTGGACCCACGTGACGTGGAAAAGCCTCTGTGGTAAGCAGCGGGTTGTCCACTGTTGGCACAGCCATGACTCAGTCAACAAACAGGGCGACGTGCTCACTCTGTGGCTGGTGCCACTCTGGGTGCCCATGAGGGTGGACTGTGCGACACTTACCCACTCTGAGACTCGGTTTCCTGTCTGTAAAATGGGGACAAAGAGGGGACCCTCGAAGAAAATAGCGGCGGTCACACCGTAGCGGAGCTGCTGCGCAGCCCTGGGCTCCTGACTGAACCTCTCTGGGCCTCCCCAGCTTGTTGGGACAAGAGACACCTCAGGCACTATTCTGTTTCTCTCTCAGGATAGGGGCATAGCAGGGTTGGGGTTTTGAAGGGTGCATAGGAGCCCTCAGGCGGTGAAAAGAAGACAGGAGAATCCAGAAGGACGAGCCCTGTTGCCCAACATGTCCCGTCCCTTATCTCCCCTCACGGAGGAGCAGCAACCAGCTCCCCAGGGCTGCTTTCCAGCCATCAGGCAGCTTTTCCCCTGGCAAGTTCTTCCTGCAGTCCGCCCTTAGTCCTTCCTGCTGCTTGCGTAGGGCCAAGCCATGCTTTTCGCCCAGCAGAGCCTTATCCTCTGTGCTGGACACAGTCGGTGCTCCATAAACGCACAGGTCACTTTGTTGTCAAATAAGGTAAGGAGACCGAGTCCACCGCCCCGTGGGAGGACGAAGGGAAGCACAGAACAACAAAACCTTGATGATGCGGGGGGGGGGGGGGGGGGCATTTTTATTTTTGAGACAAGCTTTCACTGTGTAGCCCAGGTTAGCCTCAAACTCTCAGCAGTCCTCCTGCCTCAGTCTCCCCCAAGTGCTGACGTGACAGGCCCGTGCCACCGCACACTGGGCTGGTTCCTGCTTTCACCATTTACACACAGGAGCCCAGAGAGGCCAAGCCACTCACCTAAAGTCACACAGCCTGGAGCAGGTCTCCCATCTCAGGCCTGGGCCCCGTAGCTGTCTCCTCAGCCCAGGTCCCTAGACGTGAAGGAGTCCTCGGCGGCCTCCTGGGTCCAAGTTCCCAGCGTGTTGGAGGCGGGAAGGCCCCGGGGCGCCCTGGCCCAGCTCGGCAGGGGCAGGCGGGGGCAGCTGCCGTGCTTCCGGGGGGCGGGCGGGCGGGGGAGGGGGCTCATTCACAAATCCGGGGCTGCTGCGATGGCAGCCGCCTCCCGGGCTGTGGGTGGCCTCTGTCCCCGCCCTCCAGCTCGCCCTTCCCGGCCGTGCCCCCCGCCCCTGCCCGTCTCCGACTCACTGGGCTCCGTGGGAGCCGAGCGTGGGGACCTCAGGGGACATCGTGGCCCAGCATGGAGGTGCCGGGGCCCCCCGTGTCCGGGAAGCCGGGGGAGGCGTCGGTCAAGTGGCAGCTCTGCTATGACATGGCTGCGAAGATGTGGTGGATGGTGAGTGCGGGGACCTGGGGGAGGAGGGCGCGGGGCGGGGGTCGCTCTGCGCGCGCACGGTGAGGACACCCAGGCAGACCACGGCGGGAAGGTGGCCCAGGCCACTAGGCCTCATCCTGGGGCTCCGCGGGGTCCCCAAGTCCCCAGGGCCCAGTGACCCGCCTGAGCCCCTCCATCCAGGCGGGAGCGATGAGGTGGCGGGACCCTCTTCTGTCGGGTGGATGTCGTCGCCCTACACTAGGGACACTTCTGGAAGCTTCTGGGGGGAGCCAGGGGTGGACTCGGCCATGAGAGAGGGCAGCCGCATGGCCTGGTCCGTCCAGCTGCCCAAGAGCCAGTCAGTTGACTGTCCCCTCCGTGCGGTTCTGGGTCCCACATCGCTGGGTGACCTTGCCCTGTGTCCCACCCTCTCTGGGCCACAGGTTTCTTGGCGGGGACGTGGTCTGTGGTCCCCCGCGGGTCCTGGGGACCGTTGGGCCTTGAGGTGGGATGAGGGGCCTCGTGGCTGGTGATGTCCCCTGGTAGCTACTTTCTGGAGAGAATGTGCGGCAACAGCGGGCATCCCTGGGACGCAGGTCACAGCTCTGTCCCTCCTGTGCTCAGTCAACATTTATTGAGCACTTACTGTGTACCAGGGTCCCCAGACGAGAACTCCAGTGGGGGTGGAGAATTCAAATAATGATGCAAACACTCAGGATAGAGGGAGGCAGGGGGCCCGGAGGGACCAGGGTAGCCTCCCGAGGAGGGGACATCTGAGCTGAGATGCACGGAAGGTGGAATTCACCAGAAGTTAGGAAAGTAACCAGAGCTGACCAAAGGCCCCAGGGCAGGGTGCAGCCTGGAGATGGAGGAAGGAGCGGTCGGGGCTGTGGCCCTGAGGTAGGTGGGGACGGGACAGCATCGAGGCCGAGCAGGGACTTGCCCTGGATCTCTTTTTAAAGTCCCCTCCGTTCTGACAGCACAGCTGGGGCTGGGGTGTTTTCAGACCATGAAGGGGGGAACCGGGGTTCTAGAAGAAGCCCAGGGACTGAACTGTCAAAGTCACACAGAGAGAGGGGTGAGGAGTAAGACTGAGGTCAGAGGTCAGACTGTCACAATCCTGTCTGCAGGGTCTGGAGACGGTGGAACCCAGTCCCAGTGCCCAAAATAAAGAGGCCGGCGGATCTCTGTGAGTTCAAGGCCAGCCTGGTCTACAGAGGGAGTTCCAGGACAGGCAAGGCTGTACAGTGAGACCCTGTCTCAAAATAAAATAAAATAGATGCCAGGCGGTGGTGGCGCACACCTTTAATCCCAGCACTCGGGAGGCAGAGGCAGGCGGATCTCTGGGAGTTCAAGACCAGCCTGGGCTATAGAGTGAGTTCCAGGATAGCCAGGGCTACACAGAGAAATCATGTCTGAAAAACTTAAAAAATAAGTAAATAAAATAAAATAAACAAAAATAAAACCAGAAGCTGGAGTGTGGGTGAGCAGTGAAGCATTTCTCCATCGTATGCAAAGGCCCTGGGGTCACTGTAAAATATAAAATAGAACTTCATTGTGAACCCAGCCATTGGGGGAGGGGACCTAGCCCAGGCCAGACAGCGTGTGTGCGTGTGTGTGCGTGTGTGTGTGCGTGTGTGTGCGCGTGTGTGTGCGTGTGTGTGCGCGTGTGTGCGTGTGTGTGCGCGTGCGTGTGTGTGCGCGTGTGTGCGTGTGTGTGCGTGTGCGCGTGTGTGTGCGTGCGTGTGTGAGTGTGTGTTCATGCGTTCATGCATGTGCACATGCCCACTGAGTCCCCTTGCATTACCTGTAAGGTGGAGCCTCTCTGGCCTGGAGCTCACTGATTGGCCACCAACAGGAGCCCCTGGACTCAAACCTGGGTCTGCATGCTGCAAGGCGACTGTGACTGACTGTGACAAGTCCTGTGACTGACCGAGCGTCTCCCTGGCTACAAGTCCTAATAACTGCACTTTACACACTGTCCACTCTCCTGCTGATGTGTTCAGTAACAGCCTCCCTGCCTCAGTTTCCTCACCTGCTAGCGTGGGGGATGGGTGGGTGACTCGGTCTCCATGAAGGGCTCTCCATGGGGTGGGTCAGGAACTGTGTAATAGTCACAGAAACCCAGCAGGAGGAATTGTGGTTAGATTCCAGAAGGACTTCCGCTGGCCGC